TGCCACCCACTGTCACTCTGCTGGACATTAACAGCTGGGAATCTCAGCAAACTAAGGTTCCCAGCTAATAAACACATAACCATCTAAGCTAATGACATTTCATAGCACTTTTTTACGTGAAACATTTCTTTTTAATTGTTGTTTTTTATCCAGCATTCTTTTTCCAAAATGACTAAGCCTAAAAACCTCTTATGTAAACTCAATTTTGAGTGATTGACATGAATGTCAAAACATTTTTTGTGTTAGTCATTTAACGCACTATGTTAATTACCCATTCAAAGCCTCCATTTTGTCTAATTTATTGTCCATTACCACTGGCTCTCCCTCCTTAATTTACACACATTTCCTTTTGAAACAAACAGTAATGTCTGGCCGCTGTTTTTCAGCTGGAGTCCTGCATGTCTCTGTGGGCGATACATGCCAGCAGCAGCTTTCCTTCACAATGACAGGGGGAGCAAATTGTTCTTACCCACATTCTATACACATAGTGTATTGATAAACATTCATAAAATGTATCGGTGAAATTCCCGGTAAAATCAGCTATTAACAATTTATCATATCCAACAGGGAGAGTCAGATATTTCTGCTCCTGTATATTGTGTTCAGTCAACTCCGTTATTATTATTGTTGCCTTCCTCCCCTGCAACAAACTTGATCTCAGCGTTGGCGGTCCTCGAAGCCATGCTGCTGTCCCTGACTTTGTGTTTGAACAGAAAGGGGAAGGTTTTCCTGAAGGACTTCTGAAAGCTGGCTCCCATGAAGCCGTAAACTATGGGATTGACTGAGGAGTTGGCGTAAGACATGCAGTTGGCCCACGTCTTGATCTTGTAGGTGACGTAGTTGGGTTGGTATTTGGGATGAAAGGACTGAAAGAGGACAAAGATCTGGATGGGGCCCCAGCAGATAGCAAAGAGGAGGACGATCACAACTACCATTTTGGACACTTTGCTCCGGATACTTATGGTTCTTTCAGACAGGAGGTTGACCTAAGGGCAATTAAGAAAAGAGAATGTTGGTTAAAAGCTGTCATGTTGTCGTTTGAATACTAATTAATGATGCCTTCTGGCCTTTTTTAAGCATGACCAGTATATAATAAAGGAACAAACGGCAATACTGCACATTTTTAATATTTAACATTTAAAAAAAAAAAAATGTAATTCCTGGCATATCAAGGTGGCCTGAGTTGCCCAGTACTGCAGCCATTAGGGCTGCAATCAGTCCCTGTCAACAAATTTAATTAAAGTTTAAAATTTAATTTCCATTTAAATTTAAATAGGTTTAGTTTAATGGTTTTA